TCGCCAGAAACTTCTAGGAATGTTTGAGAATTAATGGGAATTTTTAAGCAAAAATTTAAGGCAACTGACATGAAATAAATGCTAAAAATTAAAAAATCCCAACTTAAAATTCAAGTATTCAATGAAATTTATTTACATGCTTAACTCAGGTTTGCATGAAAAATATTTCCGATTGTAAATTAACATCAACTTGTAATATTAGAATGGAATTTGATTTCTTTTTCTTTTCTTGAAAACTTCAAAAGAATTATCCTCAATTACAGCTATTCATATAAAATAGTTCTAATCAATCATTAAATTTGGTTTGGCACAAATTGTGAACAAAATCTGTTGATTCTTTTCCATAAAATACAATAACTTGAATTATATTTATTGCAATAAATACTATCAGTCAAAAAAATAGTCTTTAAATGAATCTTTTAATTTGGGATCACGATACCAATGGTATTTAACCCTTTTGCTTCCAGAGTCAGGCTTTAACTTAATTTTATGTGGTTGTAACTTATTTAGATAAAGCTCTTGTGTGTGAACATTTAAATATCAGCTGTCAAGCAGCACTTTCATGTTTTACTATTTGTTTTTGTTGATTCTGCACATTGAAATTCAAAGATTTCTTCTCAATTTTGACTTAGCACTCTTGGGAGTGAAGGGGTTAATTACAATTATATAAAATTGAAGTAAAATCTTGCTGTACCTGTAACAATAAATTAGAATGAAATTATCCTAAACTGCCGATTTAGCTGCTGTTTGTCTTTTTTTCTTGGGCTCGCAGCTTTCTCTGTTGGCCTCGAATGTGGTTGTCTACAAGAAGCCTGTCTATTTTGTATCTGGATTCCATGACATCTGAATTTGAAAAAAAATATATCTATATGTATTATGAGCTCAAAAAGGCCTTACATAGCTGTAAGGAGAAGGGCATTAATTGGAATCTTAATTTAACAAAGTGCACTGCGATTGGGAAATTTCTGTTATTTTGAATGACTTCTATATTGGAGTTAGTACATCTCTTCCATAGATTTTACTAAAAAAGAGCTGAATACACTATTTTGTTTTTATCAAGGAAAGATCCTTTATGTAAAAAGGTTTATTTAATCAAAGTTTTTATTACGAATCTAGAATATTTCTAAACGTGACTAAAGTTATCTTGAAACCTTACTGATGATTTATTTCATTGTTAAGAGTAACTGCGGTATACAAGTGACCGATTCGATTCTCAGAATTATTCGAGTTTCAGTTGCGCCAAGCGTTATGTAAGCTTAATTCTAGCCGTTATATCTATTCTTTGGTAAGATTCTGCTCACGTAACGAATATCGCAATTTTACTCACCACAAACTTTCAAAATCGTAGCTTTATAAATGGCCACGCGACCCCTGATTGTACCAGTCGGTATGTCAACTGTTGTCCCTTCTTTTAACTCCACGGCGCGAAACGATTTTCTCTTCATTTAAAACACTCACGCTGTTCTCGTTTTCCCATTGAACCACAATTAAACCTATCTTTAGAATTGCTATATTAAGCAAAACAGTTGAGAAAAGAATTAACTCGACGCACAAGCGATCAATCGTTGAAAAGTACATTCAAAGATGAGCGCTAAATGGCGTCATCTTTGTTTCCGATCACGGGCGTGATCACGTGGATGTTTCGGGAATTGTCATTGGCTAGCAAAGAGAATCCGCTGGCTTGCTCCATTGCAGTCTCAAGAAAAGCGCTCAAGTTTATTGTGACTACTTCGACCAGTTCTTTGCTTTTGGACGATGGATACCTTAGTTTTTTGTTCTGACGATGATATAAATAATGATGTGAGCTCACTCGATGTAGAAATAATCGAAAAGAATCGATCGTACTACAAATGCACGATTTATGGCCGAGAGTTGTCGAGGAAACAGACTCGACTGAAACCCTCTTGAGTTGTGTGCATGGCAAAGGTGAGAAATAACACAAGCAAATCATAATTTTGAATGCGATTACAAATCGTGTTTAACCCTCATTTTTATAAAATAACGATGCCACATTAGGAAGTATAAAAGATACCTAGATGATCCCAGTGTACCAGTGCCAAAATCAACAAAGCTTGACCGATCGGCTAATAGAAACGCAACAGATCATTGTAAGAGAAGGACTGAACGGTGTTTCTTACACTAGTTTTGTACCAGAGATTACGAGGTTTTGAAGAGTGTGCTATAGTGTTCGAATTAGAGAGCGACTCTCTGTAAGTAATGTGCAACGGCGCCTCAGCTGAGATTCGTGGGTTAAGGCGTTAAAAATAGCCCAGCTTCGGCTGAAAGTTACTTTATTACATTATACTGTATTTGATTACTGGGTAATTCCCACACACCAGTGTGACAACGAAATGTCTTCAGAATATATCATTACATCCAATGTGACATGTGGTGTAGCCATCACAGGTTTAGTTCTTTGAAAATATGTTCAAGGAGAACCTTCGCTTAGTTGGAGTGTAGGTTGCCATTAACTTTGATTTGTTATTCAAGCGGCAATATTCAGACCAAGTACAACATTTCCAAAACATATAGCATTGTTCTGACTTTCTACAACTAATTTACTGGGACTAGTGAAAGATCCAGAGTCACCTCTCTGGTGTAGGAGTGAATGGATGGTAAAGCACACAGTACCATGTGTGTTGAATGACCTTTCAAGCTGGGAGAGGCTGGAAAGCTCATGCCAAAAAAAGTTGACTTGTATATAGTTTAATCTCTAATAAACAAAATGGATTATTGGGCTATAATAATAGTACAAGGATTTCTGCAACCTTTTTGATGAAGGTACTCATTCATGTTTTTGCAAAGAAGAGATTTACCTTTGCAATGAGTCATAGTGACGTGTGGCTACCTGTGCTCACCTACTCCCTTTCAAACATGTAATAATCATGTGTGGCAATAATATGTTGAAGATTGACGTAAAGAAAACCTTGGAAAATGGTGGGGAAATGGGATTATGGTAGAAAGTGCAATCACCATAAGTCATTCAACTAGGCTTGTTTCTTTTTTTGTATGCTTGTCTTTCAAATTGCAAATTTTTTCTTAAATTGTTTATTTTTTTATTATTATCATTATTTTGAATTAACTTCTGTCATTAGATAATACATCAGCCATATGGCTCAATTGTAACTTATCTCGTGACCAGAGAGTCTTTTTTTTTTTTGAGCACACTTGATGTCTTCATTAGACATGATTGTAATGCATCAATTCCAGTCAAATTCAATTATTTGACAATATTTTGTTCCTTAGTTTTGCGCATCACTTTCTTGCGTTTCACTTTTCGGGGGCAGCTTGGTTCCTGCAGTTCAAAAAAAAAAATTCTATGATCTGAGTTCTTGTCAAAGATGAACTTGGGCATTACGGCTGAGTATATGTTTACATTAGTCAAATTCTTCAACTTGTCATTAATTCCATCCCATTTGGTGGGGCTGAGAATGCCTGCAAAAATCCAGTAACAAATGCTTTTAAATTCTGGAGTAGGATTTCCTTGATGTAAGTAAGTCATGCACAGAATTGGTCAAAGATGTAGAGTTTCAGCTCTAACCTAAGTTACTTTCAATTCTTGTTGCACCCTTTGTTTCAGTGACTGGAAGCTAGCGAATGCCACTCTTTTTTTTTGAGAATAAAAAGCCTTGCATCAGGCACCAAAATGACAGGGCATGAGCTTCATCAGTTCTTTCATTTCAACATGCCATGATACTCAGTTATTCTTCTCCTTTCAATAAACATTGCTGTTATTGTGAACAAATGTAATAACTGGTCGTTTTTGCTGCTTTGGGGGCAATAACAAGTCAGTCAAAGAAATAAGTCTGCAGAAAACGTGTTATGTTGGGTATGATTTAGTTATGTTAGCTCTTTTTATCAATTTAGGACCATGCCTAGTTAAACTCAATAACAAGCTTGCTCATTGGTCTTGAAGATTCACCACTCCTCCATGAATATATTCAAAATAATTTTGCATTGATGGGAAAACTACATGATTTCTATCAAGAGAGCAAATGAAGCTTCTACTCAGCCTTTGTTATTTATCAGCATTACAAGATCCAGTGGGTTGGAGGTGGTCATATGTAGAAATGCAACTTTAAAGTTTCTTGAGCCCAAGAATATTTACTCGCCAATGTTGATTTCAGGCTTAGAGTCACATATCCCTGATTTCTTGTCACTGGGTTTGCCTCATTTTCTCTTTTTTAGTGACTTGTCCTACAATAAACTGGAACAGCTGCCTCCAAAAGCTTTCTATGAAATGTATCAACTTGAAGAACTGTAAGTAGCTCTAGAGCACTTTTGCTACAACTAATATAGGGCCACTGCTTCTTTTACTCTCCTTGACTGAATCCTGTCATATGATGTTTGTGAAAATATTTTTCATTTGGTAAGGTGTCAAAAGGACTGTATATAACTAAAGGGAAGGGTATGATTGGCTAAAATCAAGAGATTATAATTACAATTTCTTGCTAAAATCGATATTGATCAAGGTCTAGATTTTCAATTTTAACTGACCTCAAGATAGATAAATTTCTTCTTGAAACGTTGCAAGCAACAACAACAACAACCACAAATTAAAAATATAATATGTAGCCACTTAAGTATATTGCTGTGACAAATATGCTGGAAACAGACCCAAAGCCTTCATTTTACCTTTTATCGTGATATCAGACATACTTAATGATTTTGTGGGGTTGATCCTTTTGATTTGAATTAATTCCATCGTCTTCTAGCCAATGGATGCCTGAATGGCAATCGTTTCTCAGTTGAATCACCAAGATTTCAAAACACTTGGCAATCTTATCCCAGCCACACCAAATTATTTCTGGATACTTATCATTGGCAAAATTATTATTTTTTTAATGCAAACTAGTCTAGTTCACATAAACTTTTGCTCCTAGTAACCTTTTGATCTACCTGACTAGCAATCTGTACACAAAGTCTCCAGTTGCATGAGAGATATAAAGAGGCAAATAACTAAAAGGTTAAAAGAGCAATTAAAAAAAAAAGAAGTGAATATGGCAGGAATGATGAGAGAAGTAAAGTAAATCGTCAACTCCTTAATACATGCCACACCTTATCACTAGAACTTCTATCTCCTACTCAATGGTCAGTAACATGTCTGATCTTGTTACAAGTCTTGTTATCTTCAGCTTTGCAATAACAGTACAAAGTAAATCAGATTAACCCATTTTTTTTTTTAACTCTGACGGTTTCCTTCTCACCATTACAGTTTCCTGAACAACAACAACATAAAGAACTTGTCTTCTGATCAACTACCTAAAGATTATTCTACGAAATATAGATTTAAAAACCTGTAAGTTTTGTGGCTTAGGAAGCTTTCTTTGCTTGAGTTAGTCATATTACCATATCTGAGGTCTAAAAAATTCTAGCCACAGACCCTCCCTTGTGACGGGGACTAAAAAGAAAACCATCAATTCTCAATCTTGATAGGAAATTTAGGATACTCTATTTTATTGTATTACAACCTTTTCTTTCACCAGGTTTTTTGTAGGCCCCATTTATATGGTCACGAGTACACGAGAAAACCCTCCTCTCCCCTGAGAAATGAGCGCTCTCGTATTCAAATATTTCTAACCTCGAATGTTAACACTCGTATGCAACAACAGCCTGTCTCTAATTCGTTTTCATCTTTGGCTGATTCCAAAGAGATTCAAACGCTCCAAACCGAACAATTGAGTACCTTCGAGAAAATAACTATTTCTTTTATGCAGAACCCTCGACTTCAACAAACTGGAGACACTTCCTTCTGATATATTCAAACGCTTCAAGTTATATGATCTGTGAGTATTTTGCTCTTATTCTTAATAAAGTTGACTGTCGCTGACTTGGATAGATTACTCTTCCTATATTGCTCTTTTATTCATAGTTTCACCCCTTTTAAATCAAACCCTTTACGAACTTTCTTTTGTGAACATGTAAATGTATACTAACTACCTAATGACCTTGAACAAATTCAGTTAGTCAATAGCTAGACTGACTAAATTTTGCGAGGTGGATTCTTAGGGCTTGTCATCAGAAACACAAGAGTAGATGTACTTTGTCTGCTAGACTCAACAACAAAAAGAGCTGTTCAAGCAGTCAATGAGTTTATGCGTATTTGTACGGTAGTTTTTCCCAACAGGAGAGGCATGTTTACAGTGCAAGCATCAGGCAAATATATAGTTAAGCATCTTTCGGGTTCTAGTCAACAGAGAGAATGGAAGTCTTTTCAAATACTAATGGTATTCAACTTTAATGCATTTTACAGGTGGCTTGGAAGCAACAACTTAAAAAACTTATCCGAAGATCTATTCACTGGGCAAGATGAGTTAAAATATTTGTGAGTACTTGTGATTTGGCATCTTTTTAAAAATATTTGTCAAGTTATTTGCTCTAATTTGTCTCTGACGGAATAGCCTGTTAGCGGCGTAAAAATGATTTCATTTATTCACATATAAACATCACCAGCATTAAAGAAATGAAAAACATTTCGTCGTGGAAACCTCGAATGAGTTACACAGTTCGATAATTTGAAAGACACGATACCACTGTAACCTGCAGGCTCTCATACCAAAGATTCTGATCAAGAGGACAAACAAAGGTGTTTCACTCAATGTTTCTACCTGTCAATTATCACTGCTTGTTTAGAGGGATGTAGTGCTCTGTGGCACGTTACTTCATGAACGTGCGCGATTTTCAATATTACCTCAGATTGACCACGAGGTTTTTGGAACCACTATGTTGTTTAACAAAAACCAGTTGTGATTTATTAGATGACTAGAAAAACAAGTTAAAAAGCAAAAACCGAAGAGTAACTTATTTAATTCCCGGAGCCATGTTGGAAAAGAAAACGCGAGGCTGACGGTGACCGCAAAATATAAGCTTATGGAGAACAGCGCCCTTTCGGAAGAATAGTTTGCACTTTCATTCTTTAACGCGTACGAATCGAAATTATAATAGTATTCAAAGACGAGAAATTGTAACAATATTCAGCAACTAAAATTGAAGGATACGAGGAAAAGTTTGCGCTCGAATTCAGACTTTGTGTTAATAGTAAACTAGAAAATGACACCAAAAATGAGGATAGAGTTGATGATGGTGGCGATTTTAAATACAATTAGATAATCAGAAAAATCCCTGCACTCGGCTGGTCTACACACATTCGTAAGCTTTCCGAACTATATTTCGGTCAGAAGTCGACTACGGCGTCGTATCATCTCGGAAATACCCTCACATTGTGCCGAAGGGTACCAAATACAACTGAGAAACTCACCTTTATGAAGGGAAAGTGAAAACACCAGAAAGTAAAATCTAGGATGGAAAGACCAACGTGAAAGCCAGAGTTTTGCGGTCGATGAAAACGACGCCGTTCAGAGTTGTAGTAGAGTTCACGCCTTGATGAGAAATTTGCGATCCCGTTCAGGAGAGCGTGCAGTACTAGTTTTGAATCGTTCTTAATTGGAAAGACGATAGAAGGGTGAAGCAAAAAAAAAAACTTTTAACATAAAACCGATTACATCAGATTTGATCTTTTGGTCTTTAATGAGAGGGTTTGCTGGTTTAGCTTAATAAGCAGATAATCTTTTAATTAATTAATGACGGCAGGTCATTTCCAAGCGAGAGCGAGTCAAATTAAGAGTTTTTTTTTCAGAGTATTGTCAAAGGCTTGGCGCATTCAAACTAACTAGCTGTTAAAAATATAATAGTAATAAAATAAAAATTAAAAAAAAGGAATAATGATGAGTGACAAACTGATTCTCACAGGATTTAAGCAATTGTAGAAAGTAATGCCCTGTCTAACACAGAATTCTATTTTTCGGTCTTCGCTTTCTGCTTTTGCCTCATTTGCCGTTTTTTCGTATGTGAGGATCAAGTGATACCCCATTAACGAATTGTTACCCTGAAACTCACCCTTAGTGTATCTTTTGTCAATTTAGATCTTTTTTATCGTTTTCATAATGTAGGCGGTTGAGTGGCAATCGGCTGGAAAAGCTGCCTCCAAAAATTCTTGAAGGATTGTCCGCCTTGGAGGAACTGTAAGTAAAAATTTTGCGATATTTCTTTCCGTAAATCTTAGGGTGCGTTCCTTTGAGAGGATCCGCATTCGGATTTGGGATCCAAGATCAGACAGATCACGGTGCATGAAAGGAACGGAGTTTTAGACGAGCTCTCAGATAATTCCAAAAAGTGCGCTATTTTAAGACTTGTGTATGCACGTGGGTTACTGAGCTCTTCCCTGAATGGCTCGTTTAATTGCACGGGCTTTAGCGGGCTTTTAGCGCATTAGAAGCACATTTTTTCATGGTAAACTCAAGCGATGGAATTAAAACAGAAGCAAGTACTGATTACGATATGGATACTTGGGAACCCTGAATGCCTGCGATCAGTGACCGATCGATTTAACATTACTAATAACAGGGCTAAAAATTGGCGGTCGCACGGTCGCCAGTGGCGAGTTAAAACTGACCAGGGCCACCAAAAGTTAAGGTTTGAACGCCCGATGTACGACTATGCTACAGAATTTCGAAAAGTTGCAATGTAAACTACGCGAAGTACAAAGTTAAAAAAAGAACTCAATATGTAATTTAATTGGACTACCTTTCTCTTCGTTCCTCTGCCTGAACTCTAAAATCATTCATTTTGGTGAATTTTTAGTTCTGAAGTGGAAATTCCGAGCTGTTTTAACAGTGATTTCACGAGCGATCCACATTCACAACATATAGACGCCATTTTGATTTGGTGATTGCCACGTGACTCTGGACTTTTGTGTTCTTTCCTTTTAATTAACGCTCCGTTAGAAGCCATGGGGCGTTTATTCAAGTTTTTCACTTTAAACTAAAGGTAATCGAGGGCAACTTCGTTTTGGAATGGGCCACTAAGAATTCAAGGAAACTGGTCCGACTGGCCACCAAGCACTGAAGTTAATTTTTAGCCCTGTAATAATATAAATGAAAAAATTACTCAGTTCTGAGTGGTTAAGATAAATGCAGTTTTCAGGTAAT